AGAGAGGGGGGTGATGATGAGGCTTGGGTGGACATCAAGGCGGGGGCCATGATATTTCCCCAGATTTCGTGGCGCCCCTTCTTGTCTCATGACGTCCCTGGCCCCCCACCTGGGCCGCGCACATGCCGCCGGTCATGATTTGCACCCCCCTCTCCTGGACGCCCCCCTCTTGGCCGCTCCCGACTGCAGGGCGCGCCGCCGCCGGACCTGTAAGTCGTCGGCGGTGCTGGCCTCGAGGAGGCAGCCGTGGGCGCGGGAGCAGCGCGCGGAAGCGAGGCCGAGCTTTTCGCGGCGTGGGCCGAGAGCGCCTCGTCCGGGGAGGGGGTCCCACACGACCTCGTCGTGCGCGGCGGGCTCGAGGGCGCGCAAGGGCGGCCGCGCAGTGTGTTCGAGTAGACGCAAGAGTGACCTTTCGCCAGAGTGACCTTTGGTGCGGGCACAGGAGGAGGAGGAGGAGGAGGAGGAGGAGGAGGGGGAGGAGGAGGAGGAGGAGGAGGGAGGAGGAGGAGGAGGAGGAGTGAGGAGGAGTGAGGAGGAGGAGGGCGAGGAGGAGGAGGGAGGAGGAGGAGGAGGAGCAGCGGCTAGCGTGTGGGATAGCAGCGGCTAGCGTGCCTGGATTTGGCCTCCCCGCGGCCCCCCCCAGAGCCGCGCACCAAGGGTCACTCTTGCCCAGGGTCGTTCTTGCGTGCAGCCGAAGTGGGGGTGTAAAGGCACGTGCTGGAGCGTGTTTCTTTCTTGCCTGGGGCACAGTGGGCATTATAGCCCCTGGCCCCTCTCCCCCCCCCTATCACGTAACGCTCCTCCCCCTCCAGTGCGCTCCGGGCACTGCCGCCGTGCGCACGGGGGGGGGGGGGGGGCACGCGTCACATTATACCCCCCCCCTGGCCCCTCCCCCGCTCCCCCTCCTAGAATGCCCCTGATCGCCGAACATAGAAAACGCGCTCCTGGCACCAGAACCTCCAGGAGCACCACCCCGTAGGGCGGGGGGTTCGCGTTACATTATACCCCCCCCCTTGGCCCCTCCCCCGCCCACCCCTGGAATGCCCATGATCGCCGAACATAGAAGACGCGCTCCTGGCACCAGAACCTCCAGGAGCACCACCCCGTAGAGTGGCCCGGCGGAGGAGGCTCGGCTCGTCGTCCGGCACCGGCGCCGGGACGGGAGAGGCCCCGTCCCCGAGGGGCCGTGCGCACGCCACGGCCGGGCGGATTCGAAGCTGGAAGCCGCCCGGGATGTGCAGCATGTTGACTGCGTGGTGATTCGAAGAAGAGCAAAAGCCACACAAGCGCAAACGAAGAAGACGAAGAAGAAGAAGAAGACGAAGACGAAAACATAAAACACACAAGCATAAATTTGTGGCGCTCCGCGCGGATTTCTTGGATCCGCGCCCGGGCCCCCCGGCGGCGCCTCCGGCGCCGCGCCTGGAGCGCTCCGCGCGCCAGGGATGGGGGTCCTGCGCGAATCCGAGAAATCCGCGCGGAGCGCCAAAAAAAAATGTTTATGTGTTTTATGTTTTCGTCTTCTTCTTCTTCTTCTTATGTTTCTTCTTCTTCCTCTTCTTCTTCTAGTAAAGCTTCTGACAACCGTGCTTGAGCAGGATAGGCTCGTGGACGTCAGTCATCGAGTCCCCTTGAGGGAGGCCCCGTGTCGGGCGCATTGGGGCGGCCAGCTGCTGGCCGACCATGCAGAATCGCGGCGCCTTCCAGACGGCGGCGCGCAGGTAGGCCACTGTCTGCTGGGCGCCGCTCCGGAGGAGTGCCTCGAGGGCGATGTTCTGGCTCGAATTGTCGAACTCCTCCCCCTCCTCCTCCTCCTCCTCCTCCTCCTCCTCCTCCTCCTCCTCCTCCTCCTCCTCCTCCTCCTCCTCCTCCTCCTCCTCCTCCTCCCCCTCTTGGCAAGGTCCGGTTCCATGCCCGCACTTTCGTCGCGTGCGTCCCGCAGCCAAGAGGCGACTGTGTGGGGGGGGGCGGGGGCCGAAGTCCCAGACCGGCAGGCCCCACTGGCTTGGAGCGGGCTCGCCGGGGCCGAGCGGCGGAGTGCAGAAGGCCCAGCACGCGAGAGGGGGCCCCCAACGCTGGTCTGTCGCGTGTCTCCTCCTCCCCCTCCTATACTCCCCTCCGCCTTCCTCCTCTCCTCCTCCTCCTCCTCTTCCTCTTCCTCCTCCTCCTCCTCCTCCTCCTCCTCCTCCTCCTCCTCGCGTGCCCAGCCCCGAACCTTTCCGCTCGTCTCCATGGCCAGTGGCGCGCGTTTGCGCGATGGGGGGGGTGCGCGCCACGAAGGCTTCCCCGCGGCGACGCACGTGCCTTCGCACGTGTGCCCGCGGGCGCCCGCGTCGTCGTGGAGCGCGCATTCGGACATGATGACTTTTCGTTTTCCCAGAAGCAGAAACAAATCCTCACGATGCTGGCTGAGACCTGGCAGCCTGACTCCTCTCTTTTCGGCACCCCCACGACGCACCAGGCGAAGAGGTACTCGGAGAGGTCGGCGTCGAGGTCGCCCTGGTCCGCCACGGCCTGCATGGACGCGGCCTTCCAGAGCGTGGTAGTTTTGAGTCGGCCTGTCCCTCTACACGAGGAGTATTCAAAAATAGTCGGAAACTAGCCAGGTGATATTTTTCAGACTATTTTAAAGTATTTGTTGGGTAACTGTTTTATTGTTTGCCCCCAAATTCGCCTGTAGGGGGGCCTGCCTGACCTAATGGTAGCTGCGCCTCGTTCCAGAAGGGGCCAGCGCGATGGCTCACCCCTTGGACTCAGCGGGTGGATCCACCCCGAGTTCTTGCTGACGGGCGCCTCCTACTTGGCGTCGTAGCTCAGCTGGAGGTCCTCGTAGCCCTGCGTCTCGTCCTCGTAGTTCAGCTGGTGGCACTCGCAGGTCCGTTGGAAGCTCTGATGCCTCAGCAGGTGGCCCGGGCAGCTCTGCTGGTGGCTCTTGTAGCTTCGCAGGTGATATTCGTAGCCCTCGTCGAAGCCCTCGTGGTTTTTCCCGTGATCCTCGTAGCCCGGCAGGTGGCCCAAGCAGCTATGCTGGTGGCATGTGTAGCTCTGCAGGCGGCCCTGGTACCCCAGCTCGTGGTTCCCGTAGCTCAGCTGGCGGTCCTCGAAGCTTTGCCTGTGGCCCTCGTAGCTCAGCTTGCGGCCCTCGTGGCTCAGCTTGTGGCCCTCGCAGCACAGCTTGTGGCGCCCGTAGCTCAGCGGATGGCTCTCGCAGCTCTGCCCGTGGCCCTCGCAGTTCCGCTAGTGGCCTTTTCCTCCTCCCTCCCCCCCTCCTCCTCTCCTAATCATCCTCCTCCTCCTCATCCTCATCCTCCCTCCTCCTCACCTCATCCTCATCCTCCACCACCAATTATTCCTCCGAACCCTCCTCCTCCGCCTCCGCCTCCTCCTGCCTGTTCCTCCTCGCCTTCCCTCCTCCTCCTCCTCCTCCTCCTCCCCCTCCCCCTCCCGCTCTCCTTCTCTCGCTCTTCTCCTCCCTCTCCCGCTCTCCTCCATTCGTTTTTCTTATACAGTATTTCTCCCTGTCGCACCCCGAGGCCAGTCTTTAGGGCGGGCCAGGCGTTGCGCCTGAGACTTTCTCACCATATTATGACCCTGAAGCTCAAATGTTGACAACAGCTTCACGGATTCAGGACGGGTGGTTTTCAAGATGTGGTTCTCGCCTGAGCGCCGCGCACATTCGTTTAACTAAACTGCAAGAGCTTCACGGATTGAGGGCTGGTGGTTTTCACAATGTGGCTCTCGCCCTAAGGCTTAGCGCCACGCACATTCGTTTTAAACAACACTTGCAAGAATTTCACGGATTGAGGGCGGGCCGTTTTCAAAATTTGGTTTTCGCCTTAGAGCCACGCACATGTGTTAAAACATGTGCAAGAGTTTCACGGGTTGAGGGCGGGTCGTTTTCAAGATGTGGTTTTCGCCCCAGCGCCGCGCACATTCGTTAAACAACACTTGCAAGAGCTTCACGGATTGAGGGCGGGTGGTTTTCAAACTGTGATTCTCGCTTTAGCGCCGCGCACTTTCGCTTTCAAGAATTGGAAGAGCTTCACGGGTTGAGAGCGGTTCATTTTCAACATTTGGTTCTCATTTTAGCGCCGCGCACATTCGTTCTTAACATTTGCAAGAGTTCTGCGGATTCGTACCAGGATCGAAATGGTGTTTTGGAAGGACTCATGATTACCAGGGTGCGACAGTTACGTTGGTTCACGGCGTTGAAGTCCCAGGAATGGCGTTGTGGCACGATTCAGGATCGTCAAGGCGCAACAGTCAGGTCGATCCGTCGCGTTGGAATCCCCGGAAAAATTGCTGGCATGCTTCAGGGTGTTCAAACGGTTGTCTTCCAACGGGGCAGTTCCCTCAGTGGAAATGAACCGTTGGGAGGGGCCTATGAAGTGGGAGTTTGGAGGGAGGGTTTATTCAAATATCGTTGGTGACTCTTTTGTTTACACTGGTCATCCTCCTCCTCATTATCATCATTATCATCATAGTTATCATCATCATCATCATCATCATCATCATCATCATCATCATCATCCTCATCCTCATCATCATCATCATCATCATCATCATCATCATCATCATCATCATCATCATCACCATCAGCATCAGCATCATCATCATCATCATCATCATCATCATCATCATCATCATCTGCATCTTCATCTTCATCATCATCATCATCATCATCATCATCATCATCCTCATCCTCATCATCATCATCATCCTCATCATCCCCCTCCTCCTCCGACCCCTTCTCACTCCCCCCCCCGCCCGCGATTGCGCTGGTGGCCGTGGCGGTGGCAGTGCTCCAGACGGCGGCGGCGGCGGCGGCGAAGCGCGGGCCGCTCCCTCGGCAGCGAACACGTGCGTTCAACGCACGCGTGCGCGGCTGCGCACGCGCGCGTCGGGTGCCGCGCCAGCAATGGCCGAGCCGTGCGCGCGCACGCGCGCGCGCGGCTGGCACGCACGGCCGCGCGCGCGAGATCGCCGCCCTCCGCGGAGAGGCCGAGCCATACGAGCCCGGCCAGCTGCTCGCCCAGAGCGCCTCGGCCACCGTGTCTCTGCCCTGCCCTGAGCGGCTGGACGCAGCCGCGGCGCCCCGCGGGGGGGGGGGGGGGCGGGGAGGGGGTTCGGACGGTGTTGCCCCCAGGGTCCAGGGGGAGGGAGGTGGGCGAGGAGGAGGGGGGATCCAGCGGGGTTCAAGAGAAGGAGGGAAGGAGGGAGGAAGGCGGGAGGGAGGGAGGGAGGGGGGAGGGAGGAAGGGAGGGAGGGAGGGAAGAGGAGGAGGAGAAGGAGGAGAGGGATGATGATGATGATGATGATGATGATGATGATGATGATGATGATGATGATGATAATGATGATGATGATGATGATGCTGATGATGATGATGCTGATGCTGACGCTGATGGTGATGATGATGTCGATGATGATACTGATGATGGCAGTGATGCTACTGATGGTGTTGGTGATGATGATGATGACGATGATGATGATGACGATGATGATGATGACAATGATTACGATGACAATGATGATGTTGATGATGATGACGATAATAATGATGATGCTGCTGATGATGGTGCTGATGATGCTGATGCTGGTGATGATGATGCTGCTGATGATGCTGATGCTACTGGTGATGATGATGATGATGATGATGATGATGATGATGATGATGACGGTGGCGCTACTGACGATGTGTACGACGACGGTTATGATGATGCTGCTGTTGATGACGATGAAGCCGATGCTGATGACGATGATGATGATGATGATGATGATGATGATGATGATGGTGATGGTGATGGTGATGACGATGGTGATGATGCTGCTGCTGATGATGATGCTGATGATGCTGATGAAAATCATGATGCAGATGAGGATGATTATGGTGTTGATGATGCTGATGATGATGACGATGATGATGAGGATGAGGATGGGGCCGAGGACGAGGATGAGGATGAGGATAATGATATCGATGACGATGCTGATGATGATGATGATGTTGGTGATGATACTGATGCTGCTGATGATGCTGATGCTACCGGTGATGATGATGATGATGATGATGATGATGATGATGATGATGATGACGGTGACGATACTGATAAAGTTCTTAGCCGTGTAGCGCACGGCGGGACGCCAAGCTTCCAAAGAACAAGCTGGTCGGAGTTGTATCTGGTCGGAGTTGTCGGGCTGGTCTGGTTTGAGCCTGGTGCTGAAGCTTTAGCTAAAGCTTTAGCTTAGGATTCGGGCGAGAGTGGTTTAGGGGAGGTCCCGGAATGCATTTTCAACGACGACGACCGAATTGCAATTTTTTTTTGCATTGCAGTTTTTTTTGCATCTGGTCTGGCTGGTCTGGTTGGAGCCTTGTGCTGAAGCTTTAGCTTAGGATTCGGGCGAGAGTGGTTTAGGGGAGGTCCAGGGATGCATCTTCAACGACGACGACCGAAAAACAGTTTTTTTTGCATTGCAGTATTTTTTTGCATTGCAGTTTTTTTTGCATCTGGTCTGGCTGGTCTGGTTGGAGCCTTGTGCTGAAGCTTTAGCTTAGGATTCGGGCGAGAGTGGTTTAGGGGAGGCCCAGGGATGCATCTTCAACGACGACGACCGAAAAGCAGTTTTTTGTGCATTGCAGTTTTTTTTGCATTGCAGTTTTTTTTGCATCTGGTCTGGCTGGTCTGGTTGGAGCCTTGTGCTGAAGCTCTAGCTTAGGATTCGGGCGAGAGTGGTTTAGGGGAGGTCCAGGGATGCATCTTCAACGACTCCGACCGAAAAGCAGTTTTTTTTGCATTGCAGTTTTTTTTGCATTGCAGTTTTT